TAATAATAATAATAATAATAATAATAATAATAATAATAATAATAATAATAATAATAATAATAATAATAAAGTTGGAAGGGACCTTGGAGGTCATCTAGTCCAACCCCCTGCTCAGGCAGGAAGCCCTATACCATTTCAGACAAATGGCTGTCCAGTCTCTTCTTAAAAACTTCCAGTGTTGGAGCATTCACCGCTTCTGGAGGCAGGTTATTCCACTGGTTAATTGATTTAACCGTCAGGAAGTTTCTCCTTACTTCTAGGTTGCTTCTCTCCTTGATGAGTTTCCATCCGTTGTTTCTTGTCCTGCCTTCAGGCGCCTTGGAGAATAGCTTGACTCCCTCTTCTTTGGGGCAGCCCCTGAGATATTGGAACACTGCTATCATGTCACCCCTCGTCCTTCTCTTCATTAAACTAGACATGCCCAATTCCAGCAACCGTTCTTTATTATCTTTTAGCCTCCAGTCCCCTAATCATCTTTGTTGCTCTTCTCTGTACTCTTTCTAGAGTCTCAACATCTTTTTTACATCGTAGTGACCAAACCTGGATGCAGGATTCCAAGTGTGGCCTTACCAAGGCATTGTATATAACACCTGTCTTTTCTATAGAAGAAAATATTTGTAGCTCAGGATGGAAATGAGAGGTCATTGGTAATCTCTGAGTGTGACTGTTTTCTTGCAGACGTTTCATTACCAAACTAGGTAACCTCATCAGTGCTAGCAAGCGAGTAGGGCTTGCTCTTTTTATTTACTAATGGCTTGCGCTGTCAGTATTGGTAGAAGTGTACTGGATTGTTGTTTACTGTTAGCTTGTCTGTCTTGAGTTGGGAGTTACTTGATTGGGGTATTTTTTTTGCCCAGTCCACCCCCACCAAAACCTTTTTCAACGACAAGACATGTTCTTAATTAGCCACTCACTCCGGGTTACTTGTCTGAGATGGGAAGCCATATTAAAAAAAAATACTCACAATGTAAAAAATAATAATTACCTCCCTTTGATTGAGAATTCTAAAGCAGCTTTAAGAACTTGGGTCTTGCCGTCTTATAAATCTTTTAATTAGTACTTGGTTTACGTAACTTGATCTATTTCCTCTTCTGATGTTAATTAACTGAAGCACAGAGTAACTGTTAATACAATAAGTGCTTTTCTATAACTTCAAATAAACCCCAGCTCTTTTATCTGTTGTCGATGGGAGGAAGATATGTTCAAAATGAAGGGTAACGTTTAATCTTCCACCACTGAGAATTTATGATACAACAGCTGCTAGATCTAGAGATACACCAAAATGCCACCTTTTCAATCATTTCTCCACAATCTAAGCATCTTCTAAAATAGATAGAATTCTGGCATTTTCACATGCAGCCTTCTGTTTTCACATGCAGCCTTCTTCTCAGCAAGATAGGCTGCAATGCTACATGTATAAAGCTTTCTTCTTGAGACATTTTAGAAGAAAACACCACTCTAAGCTATCAAGCTTGCATTGCACTATAGCTGACGAGCGTCCTAGATCACGCACGTCCAGGGTTAATGTAGAAAATAACTCATAACTCAAATACAGAGACAGCAAAAAAAGAGAGCCCTCTCAAGAAAGTGCCTGGAGGATCAGAGTGAACATTTACAGCAGCCTTTCTCAACCTTGACTACTGGAAGATGAGTGGAAGATGTTGAGACTCTAGAAAGAGTACAGAGAAGAGCAACAAAGATGATTAGGGGACTGGAAACTAAAGCATATAAGGAATGGCTGCTGGAATTGGGTATGTCTAGTTTAATGAAGAGAAGGACAAGGGGGGACATGATGGCAGTCTTCCAATATCTCAGGGGCTGCCCCAAAAAAGAGGGAGTCAAGCTATTCTTCAAAGCACCTGAAGGCAGGAAGAGAAGCAACGGGTGGAAACTAATCAAGGAGAGAAGCAACCTAGAACTAAGGAGAAACTTCCTGACAGTAAGAACAATTAACCAGTGGAACAACCTGCCTCCAGAAGCAGTGAATGTTCCAACACTGGAAGTTTTTAAGAAAAGACTGGACAGCCATTTGTCTGAAATGGTATAGGGTTTCCTGCCTGAGCAGGGAGTTGGACTAGATGACCTCCAAGGTCCCTTCCAACTTTTATTATTATTATTATTATTATTATTATTATTATTATTATTATTATTATTATTATTATTATTATTATTATTATTATTATTATTATTATTATTATTATTATTATTACTTCAATTCCCAGAATTCAATTGGCTGGGGAATTCTAGGAGTTGAAGTCCAGATATCTTCCAGCTGTCAAAGTTGAGAAACATTGATTTACAGTCATGCCAAAAGAGACCGAGGTGTATTTGTCGCTTAGACTGACCATAAACAGGTGTTTTCCCAGGTAAAATGACAACCACGAGCTGCAAGCCAGCATAGGTGTTCTTCAGGTGACGGAACATGGGTTCCACACTGTCTGCTCCCTGGGCATATTTACAGAAACAAGGTTGACCCTGGATGGGCATTCCTGCGTCTCTGGATATCTTCCTCAGTTGTTCCGTGAAGGTTCTGGAACATTAAAAAAATATCAACAACACATTTTAAGAGCAGGAACCAACGTTGTACATAGCCGTGTTACAGAGGTGACATTCTTTCTTTCTTTTCATAACAAATTTTATTGGTTTTTTAACTTTTACAACAGAATGCTCAAGACACACCATGATGGTTAGGTGATCAATCATCCAAAACCAAAATCATACAATAGCTCAAATAAATACATTAAATGTTCCCTCTCTATTTCCCTCAAATAATATAACCTATTTAATATCCATTTCTACATTACATATCTATAAATCCTAATCCTGTTTTGAACTTTATTAATTTACAGTTACCATAGTCCAATTTAATCTTAGATAAATGTATTATCACTTCGGGTATCCCTTCTAAAATACTAATCCAGATATATTCTAATTCATAATCTCATAAATCGTTGATTTTATCACAAATCTCTCTTATTTCTTCAGATAACATTTAAATCTCATTCAAATTATTATCATGTCTAAAAAAAAGAACACACCTATTATTACACAAAACATCGTCTTACTAACTTAACACACTCAATTAGTTGTTAAAGCAATCCGAATTTCTAAAAACCTCTTTCATATTCTTATTCTCATTCCATTACAAAATAATTTTCATACAAATAAACATATTATTCCTAAAAGTACATTCTTACTCTGTTTAACATATATATTCTAATAATCACAAATTTTCAACTCTAAATCTTAGTCCTTAAATCAATCCATATTTCTCAAAACCTTTTTAATCCATTACATATAATTTTAAATTTCTCTTTTTAGTCTTATTCTGGCTTTCTTTTTATGCCAAGCAGGTTTCCATAACAAAGCCTCTATTTCAG